AAAAAATTGGACTTGTATGTGAGTAGGCAGATATGCCTCCTGTAGTTTTCACTGATGCAGCTTGCTGCTAACCAAGGAAAGCAGCAGGTGTGACATTCTTGGATGGTGTCAACTAATGGCAGTGTCCAGGTTGGAAATACGTACAAAAAAAGTATTCCACAATATTGTAACTGTTGTTACACAAATAACCCGCACATAAAAGAGAGAAGCTTACGACGACTGTTGTCATGGCGGCCTCTGAACGCTACCGGCACCGTAGGTCATTTTCATGTATAATTAATTTTGCTTCTAACAACATTTCACGAGGTGGTCGTGCTTGTTCCTGTGTTTCACAGACATTTTTCTGGTCGCGGTTGACAACATTTTTGTATTAAACTTTTACCTCCAGGGATCTTGCTACTTTACCCACGTACCTCTTATCACACCCATCCTTAAAATATGATATACTCCTGCACTCATGGTTCTGTTATCAATTTGTTCCTTATTAAATCTATTAGTGATCGAAGCGTTTGAAACTATTTTTAAGATTAGTATAGAATTGACAGCTTCATTTACGTTTGATGCTACTTGCCTAACAGACAGAATAATGTATTGGACTGGTGTTCCCTCTGTAGGTTCATGACGGGAGTCAATATGCAGCAATCCGAGCTTGTTTGTTTTCTGTATACTTTGAATCGGTCAGTAATAATAATCTTAATTTCTACAAGTACATGATTCCGCTGATACGGACTTAGATGATATGACTTTTTAGAAAATTCATGGTTACATACAGCATTTCGGGCAACGTAAGTTAATCTTTTTCCCCAGAATGCGACCCAGGACATCCAGGTACCTACTTATTAAACCATACTACGGGTGGGGTTTGAACCCGCGGTCAGAGTCTCGAAACTCCGTGGTTTGGTTTGTTTGCAATCGTGTTATTACGATTTCGTGAGCCACCTACTGATTGCTAGGTGAATAGGGGTAGCAGGTGTTAAGAAATATTCCCAACGTTTCTCCAGTGACCGAAGGGATCCCGGACTCCCAGTGTGTGAGGTGAGGACGCTGCCAACGAAGCCACGAGACCCCACTATCCTTACCTGTGTGGAGTAACACATCTAAGAGTGGCAGTTAGTTTCTCTCTTCAAGTGTGAATTTTATGGTTGGCTCCAAGCTGCTGTTGGTGTTGATGCTCTGCACGCCGAGCCTCCTGGGCAAAATGACCAAAATATCATCGACGTTGCACAGTCGTGACTGAGTCATTGATGGCTGGCGTATGAGGTTGGTTTCTTGATTCTCCATATATTTATATTATATATATATATATATATATATATATATATTAATATATATATATATATATATTATATATATATATATATAATTTAGCCAGGACTGCTCTTCTGAATGAGTCTATAGTTCATCCTTAATTATAGCACAGAGCTCTACTAAGTCAACAGAATCCTGACATGGTATGGGTACGTCTACATCATTATTGAACTTGTCTCAACAGGAACATTTATGTATAGGGTCATAACGTGCGATTTAGACGATCACCTTAATGGCTAAGGTGCGCCTGGTTGATAGTACCTAAAGATGTAGAAACATATTTTGCTAATGTCCGTGACAGGTTGGAGCTGGATATTGGATTCGTCTTAGGTAGTCCAAAAAAACTGGATGACTGGAATTGATGGGGAGTCAGTGCGAGAGCTTTTTATCCCACTCGGTCTTTCCTGAGTGTTTTACAGGCATTACTGAGAAAGGAATGTGTCCGTACACTGACATTCGTGAATGTGTAGGTGTTGTGTCATTTAGCAGGTCGTATATTTTGTTGACATAATCTGTCAGCTATGAGGATGCTACCCCGTCCGATACTCGAGCACGCGAACGTAGCAACCTGGTAAGACAAAACTGTTCTGAAAAACTGCTGCTATCAGTCACTCCACGAATCCTTTATGGAATTTGTAGTCCTTAATCTGGTGGTTTTTTGACAATATTGAATTCTAATTTGAATTTCCGTATTCTGGCGGCAAACTGAAGCGTAAGTCTGAGTGCTTCACCTTGCAAGACACTGAATGAGCAGGAAGAAACGTTCACGATACATGTCCTTCCAGCGCCTTTCCATTTACTGTGTTGGCATGGGATGGAAAGTTTCCTACTGAGGCTCTTTTGTAAATTAGAAGAGGTCATTATCCTCAGTACGACTTTAAAAGTGAGTCTGTCTGGCTCGGGGAGGACCGAGAGATACAAGTGTGCTTTGTGGAAAGCATCCTTAGAGAGTTCCTTGCAGTCTAGACAGTAGTGGAATGTGGCTGGAGTGAACCGGTGTTTGGAGTGAGTAAGGCAATTACCTGGAGTTTACCTGGAGAGAGTTCCGGGGGTCAACGCCCCCGCGGCCCGGTCTGTGACCAGGCCTCCTTAGGTCAGTGTCCCAGAATGCGACCCACACCAGTCGACTAACACCCAGGTACCCATTTTACTGATGGGGAACATAGACAACAGGTGGAAAGAAACACGTCCAATGTTTCTACTCTGGCTGGGAATCGAACCCAGGCCCTCACCGTGTGAAGCGAGAGCGTTAACCACCAGGCCACCAGAGCCCTAGGAAGTTAGAATGAGTACTAAGGCTTACAGGAGAAGAGAAGAATAGTGTCTAGAAAATGTCCTTCTCAGATGCTGTATCAGATAGCTAGACAGTATGATGATAAAGAATTGATAAGTTCCAGACACACTGTATATTGAGGCAATGTTTGACCACGAGTGGCGTCTTCAGTCCTAATACAGAGAACTAAAGTAAGCAGTATATATGGGGCGAAAGATCGATTTTACATCACCTCACCGATTTCAGACATGTGTTGTCTCCGGTCACATTCCACTAATTTCTTGTATGCCAAGAGAAACTTGCAGCGCTCTCCATCTCGTCTCTGTGAGAACTGCTATAGTCACCACTGGTGGAGGAAACGTTTTCTTAGTTAAATCCCATAAAAAGAATATTGTGTCTAACAAGCATTCATAACTTCTCTCTCATTTCTAGAGCCAATCTTGTGAAGTAAATTTTTTCTAGTATTCATTCCTAATTGGTAGATTTAATAGCAGTATAATCTTCCAAATCTTGCATGTGAATGTACTATTTACAGATTACACATAATCACCCCCTCATGGGAGGCTCCATAATGCCGTTCAAAGACAATCAACGCAAAGAATTGGTCCTATTTTCCTCATCACAGGATGCATCTTGATTGTCTCCTATTCATCCCAGGTTAAATATTACCCCCTGGCTTAGCGCTTCTTTTTTATTATAATAATAAATATTACCCCTAGCAGCTCATAATACCAAGTTAATATAATAATAATACAGAGATTCAGTCAGAATTGTATGAGAGCAGAAAAGACCCGTCAGGAGGTAAACAGTCTCGCATAGTTAATGGATGTAAACAAATAAAACCTGAAAGAAAACTGTTTGTAAGGAATTAACTGTATACTGATAACAAGGTATAACTTTTAAGGTAAATCTTACGTCATTAAAATAAGTTATTACAGCTTACGAGGAGAGTTTCTCAGACAGGGGAGAGTGGGGAGACGTTCCTCAGACAGGGGAGAGTGGGGAGACGTTCCCCAGAGAGGGGAGAGTGGGGAGACGTTCCCCAGAGAGGGGAGAGTGGGGAGACGTTCCTCAGACAGGGGAGAGTGGGGAGACGTTCCCCAGACAAGGGAGACGTTCCCCAGAGAGGGGGGAGTGGGGAGGGGGCGTTCCCCAGAGAGGGGAGAGTGGGGAGACGTTTCCCCCGAGAGGGGAGAGTGGGGAGACGTTCCCCAGAGAGGGGAGAGTGGGGAGACGTTCCCCAGACAGGGGAGAGTGGGGAGACGTTCCCCAGAGAGGGGAGAGTGGGGAGACGTTCCCCAGAGAGGGGAGAGTGGGGAGACGTTCCCCAGAGAGGGGAGAGTGGGGAGACGTTCCCCAGAGAGGGGAGAGTGGGGAGACGTTCCCCAGAGAGGGGAGAGTGGGGAGACGTTCCCCAGAGAGGGGAGAGTGGGGGAGACGTCCCCGAAGGGGAGAGTGGGGAGAAAGTTTTCCCCCAAAAAGGGGAAGAGTGGGGAGGGCTTCCCCAGAAGGGGAGAGTGGGGAGACGGTTTCCCCAGAAAGGGGAGAGTGGGGAGACGTTCCCCAGAGAGGGGAGAGTGGGGAGACGTTCCCCAGAGAGGGGAGAGTGGGGAGACGTTCCCCAGAGAGGGGAGAGTGGGGAGACGTTCCCCAGAGAGGGGAGAGTGGGGAGACGTTCCCCAGAGAGGGGGAGAGTGGGGAGACGTTCCCCAAGAGGGGAGAGTGGGGAGACGTTCCCCAGAGAGGGGAGAGTGGGGAGACGTTCCCCAGAGAGGGGAGAGTGGGGAGACGTTCCCCAGAGAGGGGAGAGTGGGGAGACGTTCCCAGAGAGGGAGAGTGGGGAGACGTTCCCAGAGAGGGGAGGGGTGGGGAGACGTTCCCCAGACAGGGGAGAGTGGGGAGACGTTCCCCAGACAGGGAAGAGTGGGGAGGCATCTCTGAGATAGCTGGTGACTACACTCAAGTATTGCTTCTTGACTCTGTATTTATGGCGTCCTGCCGGATAGTCACCGTGTACCTGGTGCTGCTACAAAAATATGTCTGGTCAGCTGCGACTCGTTTGATAATCTCTTATTCGAGGAACCTACAGTCAGGTGTGGAGTGTTGTTATAGAGGTTGTCCCTTACTGTGGCCAAGGTTACACAGTGTAACCCTGGGGCTTTGCAGCCAAGGTTACACAGTCTAACCCTGGATCTTGGCAGCCAAGGTTACACAGTGTAACCCTGGGGCTTGGCAGCCAAGGTTACACAGTAACCCTGGGGCTTGGCACCACACGTTGAGTGTCATGGTGTGTAGAAACACCTGAGTGTTAGGCAGAGTATATTTACTTGATCCTTCTTTGTGTTAGAAATACTTTGTGTAGTATTGGAATATTCTTTGTTGAGGAATAGCTTAAAATAATGTTGGTTGTGGTTTACAGTGTTGCTGGTGAGAGGGAAGGCAACACAGTGAGACGTGATCTTCCGCAACACAAGGTAAGCCATTCTTTATATTATAGTATCATGATTTAAATGTTGTCAACACTTATCAGTGAACACGTAAACCCCACATGAACAGAATATAAATGAGTATATATTTCGTCCTTAGTGACCCTCGGCAGATGTAGTCTCTTAGACACTCGTCATCAGCAGTGTGTTGTCACACTAACACAGTGTGTTGTCACACTAACACAGTGTGTTGTCACACTAACACAGTGTGTTGTCACACTAACACAGTGTGTAGTCACAGTAACAGTGTGTCTCACACGAACATTGTGGGAACTAACACACTGTAAATTATTTTTTGATCGCCTTTATAAAAGCCATTGATACATTGATATGACGTACGAGAGTATTTGTGTGTATACTCGCCTGTATGTACTGGCCCCTACTCTGAACTTGTTGCTTCCCAGATTCACGCTTCCAACCTCGTTGGCCCTATCATACTTATTCTTAAAACTATGTCTGGAATTTTCGATCACTTCCTCGAGATTATTCCAATGCCCGACTACCCTGAAACTGAGGAAATATCTCCTGACACACCTGCGACTCGTCTGTGTCCTTAGCTTCCAGCTGTCCCCCGTGTACCTGTTTCCGGCCTCTCGAACAGCTGGTGTGTACGTGCGCCCGCGCACGGCTGGAGCTACGACTCGGCTGGCGCCGAGTCGCAGCTCCTGGCCCAGCCTCTTTGCTGCTCGTTGCTTGTCCCATACATTCCCTGTTCAAAGAGCTTTATCATACCTCTTCTTAAAGCTGTGTATGGATCCTGCTTCCACCGCATCACTCTCCAGATTGTTCCAGTTCCGGACAGCCCTAGACTGACTCATTTGAGTTTCCAACTTCCAGTTGTGACCCCGTGTTGCTGTGTCCCATCTCTGAAACATTCTGTCCCTATCCACCTTGTCAATTCCTCTCAGTATTTTATGTGTCATCATCATGTCTTCCATCCCTGCTGTCCTCCAGTGTAGTCAGGTTCATTTTTCTTAACCTCTGCTCGTAGGACATACCCTTTAGCTCCGGGACTAGTCTTGTTGCAAACCTTAGGACTTTCTTTAATTTCTTGACGTGCGTGTCCAGGTGTGGGTTCCATAGTGGTGCTGCATACTCCAGTATGAGCATGACATAGACATTGTACAGTATCTTAAGTTTTCTAGGCATTCATATGCTGCAGCAGTTATTTGGGTCATGTGCGCCTCAGGAGATGTGCTCAGAATGATACTCACCCTAAGATCTTTTTTCTTGAATAAAATTTGCAGCCTTTTTGCCCCTAGCCTTTACTCCGTCTACGGTCTTCTTTGACCTTCCCCAATCTTCATGGTGGGGCTAAATTCCAGGAGCCAATTGTTGGGCCAGGCTTGCAAACTGTCCATTTTCCTTTGTAGTCCTACTTGATCCTCGTCTGCTTGAATTCTCTGTATTAGCTTCGCATTGTTTGCAAACAGGGACACCTCTGAGTCTGTCCCTCCGTCATGTCATTCACATATACCAGAAACAGCACCAGCCCTAGCATTGAGCCTTGCGGAACTCCCTCGGACAACTCGTCACATACCATCACCCGTTGTTTCCTTCCTGTAAGGTATTCTCTGAGCCATTTTAATTCCTTTCCTGTAATTCCTGCCTGTCCCTTTAGTTTTTGCACTAATGTCTTGTGTGGAATTGTTTCGAAAGCCTTCTTACAGTCCAAGAAAATGCAGCTCTACCCACGCCCTCTCCCCTGTTTTCTGTTACCTTGTCTTAAAACTCCAATAGATTTGTGACATAGGATTTTTCCTCCCTGAAACCGTGTTGTTTATCGTGTATAAGTTCATTTCTAGGTGCTCCACCACTCTTATAATCTCCATGACTTTGCATACTCTGACATGTCAGTGACACTGGTCTGTAGTTTAATGCTGCCTGTCTGTCTCCTTTCTTGAAAATTGGGACTACATGTCCGGTCTTCCTAACCTCAGGTAGTCACCCTGTTGCAATAGATGTGTTGACTGTTGTTAGTGGTACATACAGTGCCTCTGCTCCCTCTCTAAGGAACCATGGAAGAGATGTTCGGTCTCACAGCCTTTGAGGTATCTAGCTCGCTTAAAAGCCTCTTCACCTCCACTTCGGCTGTGTATAGTGTGTCCAAGATTTGAGGGTGTACTGACCATTCCGGTTTGCTGGAAGCCTTTCTACCTCCACCAATAACTTAATTATTTGCTATCTCCTTTTAAATTTCTATCTAATATTGGATCTCACAGTGAATTCTTTAGCTAATACCTTATATTGTTCAATATTTGTCTTTTCTCTAGTTAATTTTGCAAAACTGTCTTTATACTTGCAGATCTTTCCTTCTCTAGGCTCATGTTGACAAATATCTTGTGGTTGGCTGCTTACTTATTCCTGCATAAATATATTTAATTTAGTTTTGTGTTCTACCAATCTTTTAATTTCCTTCTCAGTATTATTTTCATTTAATTCCTGATCCATTACCTCGGCTTGCTCAAACCACGGAACGGGTGCTGTTCAAACCCATGGCGAGTGAGTTGTAAAACTTCAAGCCAGTACGTAAGCCAGTGGCTTACGTACTGGCCTGGCGTTTTACAACTGGCCAGGACTGGCCTGGAGTTTTAACTCACTATAGGCTCAAACCCTTCCCGTTCCGTGGTTTGTTTGCAATCGTGCTATTACAATGTCGTGAGTCATGTCAGTTTGCTCACTTAATATCGTCTACATTTGCTGAAAGGAGGTCTTTAAAACTTCTGTTTCACTAGGTGTTAGTGGACTGTTGTGAGTCACATCCTGGGACAAAACTACCTTAATTTGCCCGAAATGTTCAGCATAACAAGCGGCTTTTTATATAGTAGTATATCATTGATGTCAGCTATGGCCTGTATACCTTGTACATGTACAGTACTTGTAGAAATAAAGATATATTATTAATCCATCTTGCCTTACCTGAAGTTGTTGAGTCTTAGTTATTTTGTCCGTCCCTCCACTGGTTTCCTGGTTGGCAGGTGTATCAGCGTAGCTGTGTTTACACTGTCAACCCTTCGCAATATTGTATATAACAAATGAACGAGTGTGCTGTTGTGATTCTCTCTCCTTAATATATTCAGTATGTCACTCTTGCCCCAGAAAATGTTCAATGTTATTATTTTTCTACTTTTTTTTTTTGCAACATCACTCGTATATAACACATTTCGTCCCTCCAATACAAAAGTAGATTTTCACCCAGGATGATGATGCTGACATCTGATCTCCTTAGTTTTCTGTACTCACCTATTTGTGGTTGCAGGGGTCGATTCACAGATCCTGGCCCCACCTCTTCAGTGAACGCTACTAGGTCCTCTCTCTCCCTGTTCCATGAGTTTTATCATAACTCGTCTTAAAGCTATGTATGGTTCCTGCCTCTACTACGTCACTTGCCAGACTATTGCACTTCGTGACTACTCTATGACTGAAGAAATATTTCTTAACATCCCTTTGATTCATCTGAGTCTTCAACTTCCAGTTGTGACCCCTCGTATCTGTGTCCCATCCCTGGAACATCCAGTCTCTGTCCACATTGTCTATTCCACGCAGTATTTGGTATGTCGTTATCATATCTCCCCTAGCCCTCCTGTCCTCCTTCGTAGGACATTCCCCTTAGCTCTGGAACTAACCTTGTCGCAAACTTTTGCACTTTCTCTAATTTCTTGACGTACGTACGTGTGTGTGTGTGTGTGTGTGTGTGTGCGTGTGCGTGTGCGTGTGCGTGCGCCCATGTGCTTGCACCTGCGTGTGTTTAACTGTTCAGTTCTCAGCTACAGAAGCAGTACTGTGCTGCTGCTGTTTCATCCTGGACACTTTATTTTATCATATGAATGTACATAATCCCCGCAGTGTGCTACACCTCTTACCTCGTTTTATAAATTCAGTCCCTGTGTCTGCTTCTGTGTTCTCAAAGAAAAAAAATTCAAATCCCTTCGGCTAGTCTTTTTATTTCGTAGATTTATAGCTTTGGTCTCTTGTCCGTGTTCCAGGTACTGAAAAATCTTTTTAATTCTTCCATATTCTTGTATGACCTTGTATGTGGTTATGTTTGCTCTTTTTCCGTCTACCAGCCATTTTATAGCTCTTATAGGCTTTATTGTATTGGGATTTAACATAGAAATAGTGAGGACCATAACAAAACTTCAAGGAAGTCACCTGGAACTGCAGTAGAGCTGAAACAGCGATATAAGAGATCCAGTTTGGAAATGTACAGCTGGAACCACAATCAATCACATAAGTGCAAGAGATACTGAGACCACAGTGCAGCTACACTGAGACCACAGTGAAGCTACACTGAGACCACAGTGAAGCTACACTGAGACCACAGTGCAGCTACACTGAGACCACAGTGCAGCTACACTGAGACCACAGTGCAGCTACACTGAGACCACAGTGCAGCTACACTGAGACCACAGTGCAGCTACACTGAGACCACAGTGAAGCTACACTGAGACCACAGTAAAGCTACACTGAGACCACAGTGAAGCTACACTGAGACCACAGTGAAGCTACACTGAGACCACAGTGAAGCTACACTGAGACCACAGTGAAGCTACACTGAGACCACAGTGAAGCTACACTGAGACCACAGTGAAGCTACACTGAGACCACAGTGAAGCTACACTGAGACCACAGTGAAGCTGCACGGAGACCACAGTGAAGCTACACTTAGACCACAGTGAAGCTACACTGAGACCACAGTGAAGCTACACTGAGACCACAGTGAAGCTACACTGAGACCACAGTGAAGCTACACTGAGACCACAGTGAAGCTGCACGGAGACCACAGTGAAGCTACACTTAGACCACAGTGAAGCTGCACGGAGGCCACAGTGAAGCTACACTGAGACCACAGTGAAGCTGCACGGAGGCCACAGTGAAGCTACACTTAGGCCACAGTGAAGCTGCACGGAGACCACAGTGAAGCTACACTTAGGCCACAGTGAAGCTACACGGAGACCACAGTGAAGCTACACTTAGACCACAGTGAA